CTCTAGTAATATATTTACTGAGAAAAATGTGACGTGTTCAATACTTATTTTACCTGCTGTATGTTGTTATAATAAGTCGACTAAAATATCTCGTTATAATGAGAAAACTATCTTGTAAAAATGAGAAAACTATCTGGTTATTTCAAGATAACCATCTTGTTATAACATGTTATGATTTCTTCTGGTTTGTCACTTTCACAGAAGTTTATTGCCTGGATGGCATGATGGAGAACACGACTGAGTCTCACTATATGCTTTTTTACAAAGAAGAAATCTGCAAGAGGAACACATTTCTAGACTAAAAAAATGATAAGTTAGTACTGAATAATGTTTTTGAAATAATAGCGTCTGAATTCAGATTAGATAGTGAATATTAAGTGCTACCTGCAACATCTGAGCACAAACCCAAATATTTCTGTTCGTTTTTGTCTATATGGTGGTTCAGTCATGTTCTCCATCATGCCATCCAGGCAATAAACTTCTGTGAAAGTGACAAACCAGAAGAAATCATAACACATTACAATGGGATGATTATCTTGATATGACAAGATAGTTTTCTCATTTTTACAAGATAGTTTTCTCATAACAAGATAGTTTTCTCGTAATGAGACCCAGTTTAAAAATAATTTCATTCATGTGACAGCTCTACGCTTCCGTAATAAGCTGTCATCTATAGGTGAGATATTTAACTTTAACACCAAAAAATGTTCAAAACAATGAAACTTTTCTTTAAGGGTAGTAGAATAAAGTCTTCTTTTCACTTTGCAGCCAGTAATAATCTGAGTGTGTGGCTCTTGTGCACAGTCTTGTTCCAACTGCTGATGACGTGAACTTTCCAATCACATGCTTCTCCACACTGAGTGTGCGAGCAGTCCTACAGAAGCTCTAATTACACACTGCTGGGATGCTGAACATGGGAGGAGGGATGGATTGTGTTGTAGTGTCAGCAGAAGTAGAAACAGCTGCATCTAGTGGAGTAAATCCATTTCCAAGCTCTGGGGGAGTCCAGGACATGAGCTTTCTGGATGTCGACTCATACACTTCGCACACAGAGGGTGGGGGTTGATGGTGGAGTTCACTTTTCTCTCCTGGCAGCACAGTTCAAAGGAGCGAACAGAACAAAGCCTGCCCAATACCAAGTAAGTGTCTCATTCAAAGCTAGTAAAGAGTCTGGCAGCAAGCAGAAATCTGAGATGCTGGGTCAAGAATCTGCTCAATGTGCCAACATAAGTATGTTTAAATAGTAAATGGACTGTACTTACAGTCATATGAAAAAGTTTGGGCACCCTTGTTAATTTTCCTGATTTGCCTTTATAAATCATTGATTGTTTGGATTAAAAATATCAGTTAAATATATCATATAGGGGACAAACATAGTGATATATGAGAAGTGAAATGAAGTTGATATGATTTACAGAAAGTGTGCAATAATTGGTTAAACAAAATTAGGCAGGTGCATAAATTTGGACACCAAAAAAAAAAAACAAAAAAACAAACCTTAACTCAATATTTAGTAGCTCCTCCTTTCACAGGAATAACAGCCTCTAAACTCTTCCTATAGTTTCTACTGAGAGTCTGGATTGTGGCTGAAGGTATTTTAGACCATTCTTCTTTACAAAACATCTCTAGTTCATTCAGGTTTGATGGTTTCTGAACATGGACAGCTCTCTTTAAGTGACACCACAGATTTTTAATAATATTCAGGTCTGGGGACTGAGATGGCCATTCCAGAAAGTTGTACTTGTTCCTCTGCATGAAGGCCTTAGTAGATTTGAGCAGTGTTTAGGGTGGTTGTCTTGTTGGAAGATGCAGCCCCGGCTTCAGCAGCTTCAGCTTTGTCACTGATTCCTGGACATTGGTCTCCAGAATCTGCTGATATTGATTGGAATCTATGAGTCCCTCAACTTTAACAAGATTCCCAGTCCCTGTACTGGCCCCACAGCCCCATAGCATGATGGAACCACCACCACGTTACTGTAGGTAGCAGGTGTTTTTCTTGGAGTGCTGTGTTATTTTCCTCCATGCATAATGACCCTTGTTCTGCCCAAATAACTATTTTAGTTTCATCAGTCCACAGCACCTTATTCCAAAATGAAGCTGGCTTGTCCAAATGTGCTTTAGCAAACCTCAAGCAGCTGTTTGTGATGTGGGCGGAGAAAAGGCTTCTTCTGCATCACTCTCACATTACAGCATCTCCTTGTGTAAAGTGTGCTGAATAGCTGAACGACGCACAGTGACTCCATCAGCAGCAAGATGATGTTGTAGGTCTTTGGTGCTGGTCTGTGGGTTGACTCTGACTGTTCTCAACATCCTTCACTTCTGTTTATTCCAGATTTTTCTTGGTCTGCCACTTGGAGCCTTGACTTGAACTGTGCCTGTGGTCCTCCATTTTCTCACAATGTTTCTCACAGTGGAGACTGAAAGCTGAAATCTCTGCGATAACTTTCTGTATCCTTCCCCTAAACCAAGACAGTGAACAATCTTTGTTTTCAGCTCATTTGACAGTTGTTTTGAGACTCCTATGCTGCAAAGAGGAGAAAAACATTGCATTGCCCCCTTAAATACCCTTTCTCATAATTGGAGTCACCTGTGTATGGAGGTCAAGGGTCACTGAACTTACCAAACCAAATTTACGTTCCAATAATTAGTTCTAAAGGTTTTGAAATCAATAAAATGAAAACGGTGCCCAAATTTATGCACCTGCCTAATTTTGTTTAACCAATTATTGCACAATTTCTGTAAATCATACAAACTTCATTTCACTTCTCAAATATCACTGTGTTTGTCCGCTATATTTAACTGATTTTTTTATCCAATCAATGATTTATAAAGGTAAATCAGGAAAATAAACAAGGCTGCCCAAACCGTTTCATACGACTGTATACAGTCCATACTATTCCATTCCATTTCTATCCAACCAGGACACTCATAGTGCTTTACACTACAATCTACTTTTCCACTAGTGCCACTGTAGTGTTGGTACGGTTCCAAGCCATTTCCATTAGGTCAGATTCATGGAAGTAGTCCTTTTTAAGTACCTACTTCATTGTTGTTCCAAGAGGTCCCAGTCGACACCAAAATGCGACACCAGAACACTGTTCGTCACTGATTGGCTAGGGGGTGGAGTCACTGAGCTGCCTTTACAACTCGAGGTGCCATTTTTCCCAATTGTAGCAGCGACAGTCATGTTTTCATTCAATTTTTATTCTAATTTTTTGCGAATATTTTGAATTTCAGAACTTATTCGGCAAATGTGTTTCCATCTCTCATTTTGCGCAATAACTTTTTTTTTTTCAAAAAACCACCTCCACCAACTGCCCAAAACACACCCACTGGAACCAGACTGGAACGTCAATAGAAAAGCACCTGAACTGACCCATTCCGACACTACACTAAGTGGCACTAGTAGAAAAGGGGTGTCAAGACTCTACTAGATCTCTCCACAAAGCTAATACAGATAAGCCAATCTTTAGACACATTGGAGACAGTAGGGGTTCACCGTCTTGCCCAGGTACACTTTGATGTGCCTGAAAGCAGGGGAATCAAACCGCCAGCTCTTACATTATAGGAACAACTCCACTAACCACTCAGCCACAGCCACCCCCATCTTTTTATTATCAAGGAATAGTTTTACAAATGACAGTGTTACAGTAAACTAGTTTTGTGTAGCCTTGTTTTAAACACAAACACATAAATGATCCTACATCAACAGTCCGGAGGTTTTTCTGGACTTGAGTCAAATGTGAGCCTCCATGTAAACAGTTCCTCCTTCATCAGACACAGGTTTGTTTCATCTAATCAGATGTTAAGAACAATTTTCAAGGCTTTATTTGGATATCTGTGTGCATGCAGTCAGTATAACTTTTTAACAACTGTATACTGAAATTATATACTCAGACATCGCTCTAATACACAAACAGTTATAATATTAAACCTAAGGAGTTTATTCATCCAAAAGCATTAACATGATATGAAAGTAAGAGGGAACAGAGAAACTTATGGAGGTTTAGCTAATGGTTTGGGCTTCAGATGTTGGAACTGATGGCTCGTTTTCCACAGGCTCCTCAGGACAAACGTTGCCTCCATATTTGTTCATTAAAGAACGTCCCAAAAACTGCCAGTACTCCTTACGAATGGTGTCTTTCTGCTGCGCCAGAAGCTTACAGATCTTAACAGTGGGAAGAAGTGGAAAAAAGGAGACAGAAAACATTACCTAAGGTGTAATTTCAGGCCTAAACAGAAAAAAAAAGTTAAATAAATTGACTCACTTCTAAAGCCTTCTTCAAAGTTTCTTGATGCTGTTCATCCATATCTTGTTGGGTGCCATTTTCTAAGGCGTCCTCGTAACAATCAAAGAGAAAAGCAAGAAGATAAGGTGAGCAGTGAGTCTCCCTCAGCTGCACGACCTTTTCCATCAGACCTGGCTGAGATGAGAACCCTCTGTCCTGCAGCATCCTAAAGGGAAGGTGGAAGGAAATAAAATAAATATTATCATCGAGCTTTTCTATTTTTAATAACGAAATCTCAACTTGGTCAAGGCCCTGTGGCTTGCCATACACTAAGAAGGCACAATGCAATTTTCACTCACACTCTGAGGGAACAATTCAAACCTAACACCACCCAAATAAAGCTAAAACTTTTTTACATTTAAGGTTAGAGGAATAAAGGGCATGTTCTTCATCTTACCCTTTCAGATAATTCCATGCACTTTCATTGTGAGGAGCTTTCTTGATCTGGTTCAGACAATACCTTGAACAAAGAGGAGTCACTTGAATTAAATCAGCAGAGAAATTTAAACATGAGCACAAACTAAAAAGAAAAACAAGAAATCTGTTATTTGTAAATAAATTTGTTTTTTTTTGTGCAGAGCAGTTCCTCAGCTGACAAGGTGAAAATACACGTAGGAAATGTTTCTAAATCAAATTGCGTACTCAGGATGGGAGACTGTGACTCAGTCACTCAGATTTTTGAAAGAAAAAAAAAAGGTTGGACCTACTGGATTTCTCTTTCCACAACAGCTGGATCAGAGAAGCCGGTGGTGTGAGAAATAACAAAATGCCTCTGGTTCCATGCAGAGTTATTCCTCACATCTTCTTCCAAAAGATTCTCCACAAACTCCAGCTCGTTGTCCCAAAGTTTATACTCCTTGAGGTCAGAAGACAAAACGTTGGAAAGGCAGTACAAGCTCCAACAAGAGCTAACATGGTCAAATGAAGAAGGTGAAGGATTCAGAGTGGCTCACCCAGGCAGAAAAACTGAGCCCGCTCAGCTAACACTCACCTGGATGACCCACTGTCGGTGCTGCCAGGCGTGGTAGTTCTTTGCATCCTGGCTGAGAATCTGAGCGATGAACTCCAGTTCCTCTGAGGGATCGTTCAGCCACTCCACCACCATACGTCTGTGATGCCTGGAAAAACCATTAATTTGTGTTTGCACCAAATATTCTTAAAACATTTGCTGTAGGTGGAAGTTTCTGCATCTTATTTTGTAAAGTGACACCACACTTCGGACCGTTTTACTTTCGACATCATGACTATAATATATAATTTATAATAGTGCAACAATACATGTACCCGTATCGAACAGAGCTTTAGGTTCAATACACCCTTGTATTGAACAATACAGATATTTAAAATTTATTTTATCAACTTTTCTTCTGAAGATGCTCTGTGTTAAAGGATCAGTGGATCTGTGTTCGACTACACCTAGGCTGCATTGAGAAATTTGCTGTTTCAGCAACATTTAATTTAAAAACTGGACTTTTGACGTTAAACAAATGTTTGTACTTAATTTAAATAAATTACAAGTTAAAAGGGGCATGGAAATTTCTCTTTTTTTGTATCAAAAAAAAAATGGAACCTTAAGACTAAAGTATTGAACCGAACCGAATCGTGAATTTTCTGTATTGTTGCACCCCTAATAATATATAACTAAGTGCAGCGGCACCTGTTTAGCCCCTCTCCATGAACTCGGTTCTATTCGTTTGACTTTGGGTCGGGTCGGTTCTGCTCAGTGTCCGTGTGTCTCCACGCAGTGGGTGTGATAATGTGCAGACCGTCCGCAGCGGCTTCAACTGTTGTGTTAAAAATAATAATAAAATAAAATAAAAAAGCCATTGTTGTCTTACCGTTCGGACTTCACTTTTATTTATTTATGTTCACGGTGCTGTTTAGCTAAGTGCTTGTGTAACCGTTAGGGCTGTGTATTGGCAAGAATTTGGCGATACGATACATCTCATAACAGAGGGGTCACGATACGATATATCCCGATATATTGCGATACTGTAAGCAAGGCAGTATATTGTGATATATTGAGATTTTTTTGTCCAAAAATTCTATTAAATAAAAACCTCTTACTGAAAAAAAAGCTAATGTTTACTTACAATGTTAATGCTACCCCTACTCTCTGGCGCTCAAGAGGTAGAGGAGCCAAATGGCTGGCTCACTGCTGCCAACTAGTGGTCAGAGGCTAAACTACAACATAAAAATGAACGGTTGGCAAGAAGGTTGACATTTTAAAGCTTAATTTAAAATCGATACAGGGCTTTAGAATATTGATACAGTATCGGGAAATGAAATATCACGATATTTCAGTGTATCGATATTTTCTTACACCACTAGTAACCGTGGGCGGCCAGTTTGTTGGAAACATATCTGCTCAGCTTCGTCTCCTTCACCTCTCTCCAGGAAGTGTTTACAAGTTCTGCCTTTTTCAAAAAGGCAGTTTTATTTCACCATGTTGTCATATTGCGCTGCGTGCTCGTATTAAACAAAAGCAGCTCTCTCCAGAAGGAAATTTGCTGTCAGTCAATCCAAGAGTTAATCCACGGGCAGAATTCTGCTGATGTTAAAATCATAATCATGCTGTACTCGCTTCTACCCGAACCACCGGAGAGGAGGTTCTGAGATAGCACGGCTGTGGAGCGCGCTTAAAGAGGCACACTGGACCAACACCAAGCCGAGTCGAACCGCATACCAGAGAGTCTATGGAGATTATGTGCTGAGGATGTCACTGTTAACAGTGAACACCAGAGGGCGCAAATTAGCAGCTTTCTTTGAGGCACCGAAATAAAGCATAGAAATTAGAGTTGTGTTTCGGTCTGTGTACTACCGTGGATGTTTGCCCCGGTGCCATACTGGAACAGAGTTTCGGTACCCAACCCTAGTTCAGACTAGTTACTGAGCTAAAACTTGGTGTGGTAGTAGCTGAGAGTCATTCACAGCACATACACCTCACAAACTGTTTTTCTTCAAGGTTTGACCAAAATGGCTGTAATTGCGTAATTGCATCATTTTCTAAGACAAGATGATCTTAGTTTAAAACACTTGCACAAAAAAGGTGAGTGATATGCATTCATTCAAAGAACTGTGTAACATTTTTGAATAAACAGATGTGCTATTCTTCCCAATAACAAACTTTTTACCTGTTATTTAATGAAAGTACTTTTACTTAATTCAAAAGAGATGCAGAATTTATTTACTTTAACAAAGCTGTAACAAAAAAAGAAATGCTTTAAAAATGGTTCACTGTTATAAACCCTTTGTTCAGCTTTAACCCTGTGTAGCATGAAGGACCTAGTAAGACCTCATTTTGTAATAACACATTTATATAATAATGTAATAAAATCCGACTTCAAAATGTAATAATCTCGCGCTAAAACCACATCATGTAATAATTTACGCAAAGTGTAATAAAAGTATTCAACACATTTTGTAATACTCGCAGCAGCATTATGTAAAAACGTTATTACATTTTGCGGCAATTATTACAAAATGTGGTGGTGTAATAATCTGGTACATTAGGTAATAAACAATTAAAAACCAGTATTTCTGTTCATCCCAATCAATATACTTGTAATAACTGTCATGTTGCAAATACTACATAATTAAATCTTTATACCAGGCAAACAGCAGAACTGTCCAAATACAAACAAAGCCCAAGTTATTTTCACATCCTCATTTGCTTTCAGATCCCCCTCCACACACATAATATAAAGTGTAACATAGAGGAACCTTGCCAACACTCACCAGACTTGGTAGTTCTTGGGTTGCTCCTCAATAATGTTGGTGATGTATCTCATTTCCTCCCTCAGGTCCTTGGACAGAGCTTGCAGTAGCACTCGCCTGTAGTGCCTAAACAGTTTCACATCAAGAGTCAGGCTGCAAGTTCAAACACATCTGACCATTTAAAAACACAAATGGTCAGGTTTTAAACCAGTTAAACACTGATCTGTTTGCTCATATGCTGCTGCCCAGCACCACAGTTCCTTCTTGAAAACATCCAGAACAAGCACTTTAACATTTTAATGAAGACATTTCCACCTCTTCTTCTATCACAGAAGTAAAACTCACCACACTGTGTAGTTGGCAGCATTCAACTCAATGGCATCTGCAGTCAAAGCGAAGGCTCTATCACTCCTTTCATCTTTCTTTAGAAGTGCACGGAAATAGTCGTAAACATCTGAAACTGTTGGAAGACAGATACACTGCCAAGTTAAAAAAAAAAAGTGAATGAGAACACGACAATTTAATCTCAGCTTATATTATCTTACACTTTTCAGAGTAGGCAATCTTCACTACAGGATTAGGGCCGTCATCTTGTGGAACAGGCTCCAGATCGGCCCACTCCTTCCTGTCTCTGAAACACAAAAACACAAGCTTCACTCTGACCATGTTCACAGCCGCCTGCTGAGAACCTGAGTGTGTGGCAGAGCGTTAAGGGAGTCTCCATCACTGAAGGGTCTGTATCGACAAAGACGCCTACTCTTTATTTGGCATTGATGACATCAATATTTTTTGTCAACACAATTTTTAAAACTGTTAAACGTGAAATTTTATTTACACTGCTAATATGCAGAGAACACAACTCAACACCTGCATGTGCCAATATACAAGGGGTGTAAGATATTGACAGACCGAAATATTACAATATTTTATTTTCTGACACTGTATCAATTCTCCAAAGCACTGTGTCGATTTTTAGTTAAAGTTAAAATGTAAACGTTCCTGCGAGCGTTTCATTCTTGTGTTGTAATTTAGCCTATTTTTAAATAAAATTTCTGAATTAAAAAGGCAATATATCGCAATACAACATGCTTATATCACAAAATATTACAATATATCAGGATTTATTGTATCGTGACCCGTGTCATGATGTGCATCATATCACCAAATTCCTGCCAGTAAACAACCCTAATATACCTGTTTTAAGCATAGTTCATTGTGTACATAATGTTACAACAAATTGATATACAGTCACGTATTAAATATAATTCATACCCTATAGAAATCTTAAACTAAATGAACATTTGGCAGAGTAACAGTCTATGGCTGCTGGACAAACTTGAGTGGCAAGACCTATGGCTCCAACAAGAGAAATGTCTCTTGAAACAAAAGAGAGGATTGTGAAACTTCTTGAAGAAGGTAACTCTTCACACATGGTTACTAAAGATGTGGGCTGTTCACAGTCAGCTGTATCCAAGATATGGACCAAATACAAACAGTATGGAATGGTTGTTAAAGATGTGGGCTGTTCACAGTCAGCTGTATCCAAGATATGGACCAAATACAAACAGCTTGGAATGGTTGTTAAAGCCAAGCGTACTGGTAGACCAAGAAAGACATCAAAGCATCAAGACAAACAACTTAAGGCCATTTGTCTTGAAAACCAAAAAAGTACAACAAAACAGATGAAGCATAAATGGGAGGAAGCTGGAGCCAATGTATGTGACCRAACCGTAAGAAATGGCCTAAAGGAAATGGGATTTCAATACAGGAAAGCTAAAAGAAAACCATCATTGACACCTAAACAAAAAAGAACAAGACTGCAATGGGCTAAGGAGAGGTAATCATGGACTGTGGATGACTGGATGAAAGTTATCTTCAGTAATGAGTCAAGAATCTGCATTGGACAAGGTGATGATGCTGGAACTTTTGTTTGGTGCCGTTCCAGTGAGATTTATGAAGAGGACTGCCTGAAGAAAACAACCAAATTTCCACAGTCCTTCATGATATGGGGCTGCATGTCAGGCAAAGGCACTGAGGAGATGACTGTGGTTAAATCTTCTATCAATGCACAAGTTTACATTGACATTTTGGACAGTTTTCTCTTCCCTTCAATTGAACAGATGTTTGGAGGTGATGAAATAATTTTCCAAGATGACGATGCATCGTGCCATAGGGCAAAAACAGTGAAGGCATTCCTTGGAGAAAGACACATTCAGTCGATGTCATGGCCTGCAAATAGTCCAGATCTCAACCCAACTGAAAACCTGTGGTGGAAATTTTAAAAAATGGTAAAAGCCAAAGGTGGTGCAACTAAATACTAGTGATGTATTTTGAATGGTCTTTTGTTTATCTGTTTTTCATGATTCCATACTTTTTTCTAGTGCTGGACGGTATACCGTTTTGTACCGAATACCGGTTTTTATTTTTGTTATATGTATTTTTTGAATACTGGACATTCTGGTTTAAATAGCTTAACGTTTCGTCGCGGCTGCCAGTGAACTGTTGTTTCCCGGGGGACATTTTTCCTTGCTGCACCGCTATGTGCGTTAGCATGCTAATGTTTGGAGCAGCTAGTTGCAGCAGTGGGTGGTGATTCCGCTGCTTATATTGACTGATGTTTAAAAAAACATCCCGTTTTCGACATCGCTGAATGTAGTAAACACCTCTTCAGTGACGTGCACAGTTAGATTTAACGCGGTTAGTTAATATGGAGACGTTATGCTGATGGAGACTTAACATGGTTCTATTGTGAAAAGCCCGCAGGAAGTAGTTCGTAGTGGAGTTGGAATTGACTGGTGTGCAAGGTGAGTCGTGCTGATAAGCTTTAATAAGTAACATAAAACAATAAACCCGATCATAACCTTTTCTTAACCCTCCTCCTTCACGACTGGACCAAAATGCATGACTACTGTCTCCAACCACCAGTCAGAGAAGAACAGACACAGAGGAGGGAAACAGAGACACAGACAGAGGTACAGTAAAAGAAAATAAAGTCAATAAGCAGGGTTTGTACATTTTATTATCAGCTGAGTTGTGATGAAAAGAAAAATACAGTCAAATACCGTGAAACAGGTGAAAATGTTGAAAATATCGTGATATAAAATTTTGATCATATCGCCCAGCTCTACTTTTTTCCTCAGAATTGAGTGATTCCATTTTTTTCCCTGTGCTTGGTCAATAAAAGTAACATTCACTGACTTGAACAATGTTTTCTCTTTGTTTCTTTGAGTGTTCCTGAAAGCCAACAAATTGCACTTTGGAATGACCTTATCATAATTAATAATGACCGTGTCATGTTTTTAAACTGAGTTTGTTTTACAGAAAGAAATGTCTGAATGAGTGCTCATCCAAGACTGGTGAGTCCACACTTTTTGCCAGGGGATGTATACGTATGAGAAATTATTTCAAAAGTCCCATGTTTGATCATTTGACTGTTTCAATGCATGGCTGAATTAACACTCATCTGTCTGACATGGGACATAGGTGGTGAACTGTGGAATTTAACTACTTTACTGTTATATTTTAGCAAGTTTTCAGACCCCTCTAGTGACTGTTTATCAGAAAAATGCCTAGTAAAAAAACTTCAGCGACACTTTTCTGGTGTTAGACTTTTCCTGGAGAGAGGTGCAGCGGCAGGAGATGAATGCACACAGCTTGAGGTGGAGGGAGCGATGGAGTCAAGACCACTTGTTTTGAGACCAAGACCAGTTTTAAGCCCTCCATCACTGATGAACAAACATCCCAGAAGGTTTTAGACCACCCATTAGTTATACAAGCCGTTTTAAATATTTTAAATATTGCTGAGACAAAAAAAAGTCTGACTACTGGATGATGAAACCACAACAGCTTAAAGCTACGTGCTGACGATCTGCCCACAGTTACAGAGACACGCCTACACCTGTGAACAGAACCGAACAGTGTGAGACTTGACAATGAAGAGGGTTGTAGAAACTCTGTCATGAACGCAGCTCTCTGATGAGCAGCAGGTGTTGCTCTGAGCTCCTCCTCTGTCCCAAAGCACAGACAGGCGACTCAGTCCTCAGTGTCCCTCCCAGCTGCAGACATTATTCAACCCATACCGGTGCCATGTTTGGTGACTGCATCAACTCTGTTACACTGCATCAACTCTGTTACACTGCATCAACTCTGTTACACGGTCACGATGAAAGTTTCATGGTGCGTTCACATCAAATGCGATTTCAGCATCAGGAGCATCAGGTTTTCATGCAAAGTCTATGGTGGACGCAATTCAAGCAGCGTCGGGAAGTGCTGCGGCGCCTCAAGCGCGATTAGAGCAGCGCGATTTGAACGATTTGAACGATCTGAG